TATTGCAGACAATAGCTACTAATGCACGTGATCAAATGACGAACAGACAATAAATCTCGATAAATGTATAGAACGAATAGAGGATCTGTCCATTCTTTATTGGTCTTTTTAAATCGTAATGATTCACTAGACACAACAATAAAACTAAGATGTACCTATTTTTGAATAGCTGAAACTTTAAAGATTCATCTTAATTGAATTATCCAAATGAAATGTGGACAGGACGAGATGTAAAGGGACGAAATAAATTTGGGACGATTTGTAAGGGGATAAAATGAAATTAGGACAAAATGTAATGGGACGAGTTGTAAAGGGACAAAATGTAAATGGGACGAATTGTAAATGGGACGAATAGTAAAGGGCCGAACTGTAAAGGGACAAAATGTAATTGGGACGAGTTGTGTGGGACGAATAGTAAGGGACGAAATGTCGTGTACCGAAGTGAGCGGTCACCGAGTGTGGGATGTGGGTGTGGTTGGAATGTGAGTGTGGGTGTGGATATTGGCGCGCAGGTATGGTTCTCCTCACCCTCACTCACATCCATACCCCTACCCCCACCCCCACAACCACACCCACACCCTGACACCCCACCCCGACCCCCACCCACACCCCCACCCACATCCACACCCACACCCAACTAACTGAATGAATCGAGTACGTCATATGGAAAATTTCACAAATCATTTTATTTTTTTCATAATTGTATCTTAGACTTTTGTCCAATGCGTCAAACTATTTGATGAAGTTGCAGTAGTTCGAGAAATATATAAGATCCTTCTTCAATTACTCTCATTTTTTTGTAACTACACACTAAATAAAAATGTGTCGCATGTGTCGTGATTTGCGACACATTGTACGACACATTGTAGTACGACACAAGGAGCTCACTGCGACACATTTTCTCCAGCGAGACTGCGACACATTTTGTACGACACATGCGACACATTTTCTATTGGTTCTTTTCGAAAAGCATAATTATTTCAATTTTTTTCTGTTCAATATAATTTCATTGAATTATTTCTATGGTGAAAACTCTAGCAGGTTAGATCCTGAGATCTGTCCTGCTTCGAGTTGATCTGATTTGCATCAGACGACTCCAATGTAGTCTTTTCTCCATGATGAATTGAGATTCGCATTTTCTCGACAAAGACTATCGAGAAATAATTTAGAAAAAAAAGAATATTTTGAAAATTCATCTTTCTTACGTTCAACCACGTTGTTTATATATCGTCATGTCTGCATAATAAAAGGGTGAACGACTAGTTAGTAGACAGAACGCGAAAAATTCGTATGCGACACATTCTGTGCACGACACAATAATTCACGACACATAAACACGACGCATTTTAATTTAGTGTGTATCATGATTGAAAGAAAAAGTTTGAAAAGAAATGTACTTCAGTGTGTTGTTCGACACTGTATGAGATGAAGTACAGTAATTCTTACCGTTTTCCTTCCATATACATTGAATAATGACAAATATTTTTCTTATTCTATTTTGCTTTAGTAGCGGTGTTCTTTCGTTCGGTGATAAAAAAAAGGCAAAGTGATGTCATTACTACTTCGTCGAAAGTAACTGGTTTGGATTTGTTTGTCTAGCGATATTCAAAAAAGGATAAGTATTTACCTTTATTTTACTTTAAGAAATTTCATAACTTTTTGTTTTTATGACATCATCTGGTGACGCATATGTTCTATTCTTTTTACGAAAATATGGCTCACTATATAACTGTTTATTTATTTCATTGCAGCAAATATAACCAATAAAATTAAAATAAATTGCTACATCGTCCTCTGTTGTATTATCGCCAATGAAAACTTTACTTGAATCTACTAATATACAAATTCTTCCTCAACATCGCTTAAAAGTTCCAAAAACAAGTCTGATTCCAGCTATTTTCTTCTATAATGGAAGTTTTACACCAATTCATGCAGGTCATCTGAATGTCCTGGAAGATGCAAAACGTTATATTGATAATCTCGGAACGCATGAATTTCTAGCTGCATATATATCTCCATCACATTCTGGATATATTGCAAAGAAATTAAAAGCAGATGAGTTGATTGGAGCTGGACATCGTCTATCAATGATTTATCTTGCAATTGAGAATATCGATTGGGTTATGATAGATTTATTTGAAATATTTCAACCATGCAAAACTAAATTAAGTATTACAATGGAAGCATTTCTTTCACGTGTTCATTCACAACTTCCTCATGGAAAAAGCATTGATGTATTTTGGTTAAAAGGAGAAGATGCACTTTTTCATACTAGATCACCTGACAATTTGATTCAATTGGGATTTCATACAGTATATGTTCTCAATCGAGGATGTAATGAGGACATAATTAATAATAATGATGAACTTAAATCTATTGAAGATTATTATGAAAAGCGTTGGCGAGAAATACGAGCTGCATCATCTTTTCCAGAAAAGTATAGTTGTTAGTCGTTAAATAATTCTACATTCATATTTTCCTATTTATTAGGTTTCATATTGTCCAATCAACGCATATGAATCTTTCCTCGAGTACTATTCGAGCCTGTGCACGAAATCCTTCTGTAACACGTGAAAAACTTCAGTTGTGCATCCAGCTTGACAACATCACTACATATATCATACAACATCAACTATGGAGCACACGTGTAAATACAATGCCAGCACTTTCTGTCTTTCCTAATGAAATTACCGATCTAACACTTGAACTTCTTTCAACCATGCTCTCTGCATATTCAAGCTCATCAGTAAAAGTAAACTCCTTTATGTTTGAACAAATCGGCGTTGGAAAAGGTTGGAATGGATCTATATATCGTCTTTATGATATCCAATATTCATCTGATAGTACGGATTATCTTCCGCCAAGTATGGTATTAAAACTATCAACTGGCATTTGGCTACAGCGTGTTGCCTCTATCGAACCAGAATTTTATTTAAAACTTGGGCCACGCATCTCTAATATTGAAATACCCAAATGTTATTATGTTGCTCGTCACCCTCATTCTTCAAACGAGAGTTTGCTGCTTCTTGAAGATCTTTCTATGAATTGTGATCCATTAGATTCAAAAGGGTCGCTGAAAGATTCAACATTGTTTTTTCTTATTGCTTCAATCGCATCTTTGCACGCCGAGTTTTTCAATCATCCACTATTGCGGCAAGAAATGTTCGCATGGCTACCTTCAGTAAATTCAACATTGACACACTATCATACTGAATATGTATTAAAGATGACTGACAAAGAATTCACACAATTATTAGAATCGAGAGTATCACCCAAAGCATATACTTATGCTAAAGCACTTGTTACACATATTCCACATTTATTTCAAACACTCACTGACGAACATTATACTTTATCGCATGGTGACTTTTGGATTAATAATCTATTCATCCGACGTAGTCAATCACATCGATTAGTATTATTTGATTGGCAGACTTGCTGTCGTGCAAATGGATTAATTGATATCGTGTTTTTCTTACGCTTACTTGACACTGATCGAGCTCGTTCACTTGAATCACAAGTTCTCCAATTGTATCATCAAACGCTGGTTAAGTATGGGGTTTCGCACTATGATGCATCTGCCATCCGTGAAGACTACTATTCACTGGCTCTCCCATTTATGTTCGTCCTTCTTTCTTCTTTGAAACCCTTAAAAGACAGTAAATTCAACAAAATAATAACGATATTGGAAGATATTGTTACGTATGGTAAGAAAACCGAACGGACAACATGTGAATGTGACTTAGGCATATAAAAACAAAAGCAGAATGATAATAAACTTTTGCTAAATAGTATCCTGCTTCCTCGTTTTGTGTAATCTCTTTCGTTTAATATGAATAATTCTTTTCTTATATGTGATATTTCCTCATTACTTTCAGTGTTCCTCTTTGTACATTTGATGTCAAACAGAAACATGTATGAGTAAGAATTTCGATCACATTTGATAAATTTTTTCAAGTATGATACAAAATAAAATTAAAATTCACATCACACTCAGCTTTGCATTATGTAACAAATTTCATTGTAATGATTTTTCAATGCAATGAGATTTTATCTTTGAACTAGTAAAAAGAAATTCTTTATTTTATTGATGCAATCATGTTTAGTAAGGATTTATCTCCTTATAAATATATTAATAGTTAAATATTTGCTTTGAATTTCTTCGTAACACATTTACAGGCATGATCATTTTTGTGAGATTTCGCTCAATCGTTCAACTGTAATGATTTCAGTTCTTGTAGTCGAATTTCATTCAATCGATGGACTATTTTTCGTATTTTCGGCGAAAAGAACATTTTGTACACGACTTCGTGTTACTCCATCGGATAGAATAGTATCATCTAAAGTTAAAGATTGGTTGAACAGTTGTTCGTCAGACAACAAAGGAACCCGTCAGAACGAAGGCATACTTTTCCTTAGAAGTGGCATTTCGATAATAATGTGATAAATCGATTGGGATCATACTGAGAATAATGTCTTGCGCGGTTGCTAATAAAGCGATAATGCACCACATTCGAGCGTCGTTAGCAAGCATAAGAACATTGTCTTTAATTAATTGATATGCGTACATCTCCAGTATCATCATCTATTTATGCTATGCATAAGACGAAGAGAACTTTTGAGTATATATTATGGATTTATTACATGACATTGAACAATCTCTTACGAGAATAAAGGAAAATATAAGATATCAATACTGCAAAGGATCCTGAGCAAAACAAAACATGAAAATGGCCCTGTTCTTGCCGTAACCATATTACAAAGTAAACGATTGAAAATCTTGTACCCAGCAAGAACAAATTGCAGTGGCAACGCTTTACGGAAGTTGAGAATAACGATTAAAGTTACGTGAACCCTTCATCATCTTACTTAAAAGACATATTATACGATTATCACACTATCAAGTATGGTAAAATTTTTAAAAGCAAAGCCAATCCAGCTACTTCTTATTGGAATGACTTAGAAGTTCATTCTCTATTTTATTTGTTAGCTTTTAATATTGCCAAACTAGAAGATACATATGTAAAATCTTGTTTGAATTTGAAATCATTTACTGCATTCTGCCAAACATTAAACACACAGACAACAACGAGGAAAAAATTTCACCGTTGTTGCATAGCATTGCAAACAATCGAAACAGATAGAAGTAAATGAAGGACAATTATTATTCTCGATCAAAGGTAATTTTGCTTGACCTGATCGTAATTAGGAATGCACCAAATCCTAAAATTTGACACAAAGATTGTAGATATTCGATATGAAAACTCGTCAAACCCAGCCAAATCTTTGCGTCAGTTATACTCAGTTCTACTCGCTCTATCCAATATAGGTGCTAGATTTCGGTCAATTTAGAAAAAACTTGTAAAGTTTGACAGGATTTGTCTGAAACTATGCTTTTTAGCACTTTTTTTGTCAAATCCTGTCAAAACTTGAAATTTTTTCTTTAAGTTGGCCAAAATCTAGCACCTATAGCGGATAGAGCGAGTAAAACTGATTATAACTGACACAAAGATTTGACTGGGTTTGACGGGTTTTCATACCGAAAATCTACAATCTTTGCGTCAGACTTTCAGGATTTGGTGCATCCCTAATCGTAATTGTGAAGACTCATAAGATGAAACTGAAAATGGAGGATTAGTAAATGAATGGATTGGATGTACTGTGGCATAAGTATATGGTGGTGAGGGATCGAAATTTGATTTATCTCAATTCATTTTGCTACGTTGATGAAATGCATGAATGGGTGTGGGTGTGTGGGTGTGGGCAGTGGGTGCAGGTGGGTGTATCTGTAGGTGTGGATTGTGGGTGTCTGGGTGTCGGTGTTTTGGCATGAGTCTTCTCGTCATCGACACGCACACTACACACCCACACCCACAAAAGAGTTTAGATGAGGATAAATAATTAACATCAACTGTAAAACATAATTACAAAAACAAAAACAAGTTATTAGCTACAATTAATTCAGGGATTGCTCCTGGCTCTGTTTTTCTACTAATAAAGTAACTCAACCATTATCGGCGCTAGAATTCAAGGCACTCGAATGTTTTTTGAGTAACTTTCGATAGGATCAAGATAGAGGCCTGGGATTTTCACCGTTCGAAAGAGCGGTGTTCGGGTCATCGATCTGCACAGATTTCATCAAGACGAAAGATGTTTTTTTGTGTACTCAAAAAGTGAGTACACTATAGAATCGGTCAGTGTGTCCGCCCGTCTGTTCAGCCTTTTACACGATAACTTTCGAAAGGAGAATCCGATCGCGATGAAATTTTCTACACAGTTTCGTCTCATCAACATCTCGGTCGAGTTCGAAGATGAGAATGTTTCGTCGAGCCATTACTGAGTTATCGCAAAAAGAGTCATTATTCCCTATGCTTTTCTATGCGAACATTGACCTATCCCGCTTCTCGTAAAAAACTTTTCCTCTCATAATCAAACAAAACCCAAACTATTATATACCATTCGATAGAGAATTTCAAGAGATACAAAATGGTATATAAAACATTAAGAAACAAGATGGCTAAGTCACCTATTGTAAAGATACTTAAACGGAAATTGGTACTGTTTTTGTCCACGTTCCAATTGATCGAAAAGTAAAGCTCCATCTTCCGATCATAGAGATGATAGTTCGAGGTTTTCTAGGGTGGAGAACTCGAAGCTGAGCTCCACTTGCCTCGAAATCCTATTGGTTGAGCAGTAACCAATAGGAACCAAGTTTTAGGAAAAACGACTTTCTGACGGTAATTCAGAACGAAGAGTTTAAATCTAAGCTGTATTTGCTCCAAAACCCTATTGGTTTAGCAGTAACTGATACAAATCAAGTTTTAATAGAAGGGCTCGCTAGGATAATTTTGATGCCTACACGTGCTAGGATGACACATCTGTCCAGTTCACTTTTTGAAGTACACATAGCACTCGGATTTAAATCCGAGGTTTCCACATTTATTCCAACCCACGATCACCCGTATCTTTTGGCGGTGAATAGCCCTACTCGAGTTACGTACATACCCAAAATTTCAGCCTTTTATATGCTTGCATAAGAAAAATAGCAAGGACCTACTTTTCAACTTTAAGCCTTATAATCAAATTCTGAATGACATATATGAAATTCAATTATAAGGCTTAAAGTTGAAAAGTAGGTCCGTGCTATTTTTCTTATGCAAGCATATAACAGGCTGAAATTTTGGGTATGTACGTAACTCGAGTAGGGCTATTCACTGTCAAAAGATACAGGTGATCGTAGGTTGAAAAAAGACAGTGTGTATTGGAAATGACTATTATTTTTCAACCATTTTGGGTGATCGTGTGTGTTCGTAGAATCAGCTCGCCGAGCTCTATCTGCTGATGGTATCACCGCCCCCCCCCCCCCCCCCCCCGATTTGGGGTGATCGTGGGTGATCGCGTCTTTTACAAATCCCATCATCCATGTACTCGCCAATAGGGATAGAAAGGAAGGAAAGGAATAGTTTTAAAGCATAAGAGCAGCCACATAGAACAAAATCAACATTATTTAGATTCCTGTACATTTCAAACTATGTCAATGAAGTTCTGCATATTCGAGATTCTTTGTACGAATCACCGATCTTTCAGAAGTTTCCAGTTCACAAACTTCCTCCTTTCAGATTACTTTACTCAATACATTTCTTCCCATGATTTTGACCTTTTGAATATTATCGCTGAATCTACATATACTACAAGGACTCATGAAAATGTTTAGTTTATCGATTTGGTCTTGCTGCTTCAATGTCGAATCATCCGCTTGCTTATGAAATAGGAGAGGATGAATATCATCCCAACTAAGAGAAAAATTTCCGTCACCAAGTTGATACCAGTCCACACATCATGCACTTTCATGACTTCCTGATGACGGGATGCTAACCCTAGAAGAAAAGCGTACACAATAAAATAAAAAAATATGATATTTTCTTCAAGTAAATCTACTTACATGTAATACTTGGTTTGCATGGAATCAATCTATTTTCACATTGGACCATTTCAGTCATTTTCAGGGTTAATTGAGTGGCCTGAACCCGTAACTGTTCGAGCGTATGCGATTCATTTGTATCGGTCGTATATGATCGATGTAGAATCGTCCATCGATTATTTTGAAGCGATTCTTCAAGTTTCAGATAAGCATCTGTCTTATTGATAGTGATTGCAACTGACGGTTGAGCTATTGAAGAGAACGATAGGGATGAAGCAGTTGAGAAATGATCGTCAACTCACACTCCGGCAATCGAAATGCATGTTCGGCTAACAGCCGTGCTTTCGTTTGTATATCACCTGCGTACTTTGTTGCCAGTAGAATAAATCGGTCTCGTAATTGACGTCGTAAAGCTGGTTCCATTGTACCTTTTTCTATGTCAAATTGAGTAATAAGCTTCTCCAAACTCTGTTGTATGTGATTCTGATTTGTGATACTTTTTTCCAAGTAGCTCAACAAATCGATAGATTCTAAGCTTTTCTCCGATGATATATTCACCAATCTAGGCAACAGTCGATAAGCTCCTGGTAAATGCTAACGTGTCCGAAAGAAGCTCTTTACCTGCTCCGCCATTGCTGTTGCAACTCGAAGGATTTTTGCGGATGCCACCAATTATTCGGTCTTTTTTGCATGTCTTCAAATGTAAATTCACTCCTATATACGATGGTCTGTAGCTCAAACGGCGTTATGATAGTCATATTGCCTGCTTGTAGGGCTAATGTGTGAAAGAAAAACTCTATGAAAGTGAGAGAGCCACGCCAAAAGGCATAATCACGAACTTCTGATAGAAGTCGACGACTACAGCCGATGGCACATACCATGCTTAAAGACCAAGGAGGGACAAATTTTCCGAGTGCTGCATGCCAGTGCCAATTCCTAGCATCTCCATTCATATTGTATCCGACGGAAGGAATGATTAGATCGCTTGAATTACTGTACAGCTGATGCACAGCGCGAAATGCTTCTATAGAAGGAATAAACACATCATCTTCAATAAACCAAACAAACGAATGGTACGTGAACAAGTGGGCAAAATAGAGCAATCCCTTGTCCCAAGCTGAGCAAGTCTTTTTTATGCCGATTTCATTTGCGTGATGAAACCCGTGTTTCGTGCAGTCTTCGTCTTGCAGTTGAATGTATTGCACGGTAGATGTGTTCCTAG